GAGCTGGGAGTGAGGTGGGGGACGATGCCCCGTTCCCTCCCTTCTGAGGACTGACGAAGGCATCCGCGCGTTTTCACCTGTTTCCTGAAGCAGGAGCAGTAGCAGCGGCAACAACGGCAGCGTCGGTGACAATCTGGACGGCGGGAGGACTGCGGCCCGGGCCATGGGGGGCCCGGGAAGGGACTGGGCCCGGGCAGGGGGTGCCTAGGGACCACTCTTCGTGTACCGATCGGCTGGGAGGGCAGTCAGGGGTCTGAAGTGTCCGGCTCCAGGCCGGCTTCCGCCGCTCACGGCTCCCTGGATCAGTTCTTTCGGCCCAGCTTTCCCTCGCCTGGCTCTCAGGATCCGCGCCCCCCGGCCCCTCGCTTAGCTCCAGCGGGCCGGACTCATGACGTCACAGGCCCCGCCCCTCTCCGCCAAGCCGATCCTAGGGCTCAGGCTCCGCCCCTCCCAGAGCGATGGCCCCGCCCACCCCGCGTCCCACACCTGTCTGGCCCCAGGATTTTATCTCCGCCTTCTCCTGGAATTAAGCTATCTGACCACGCCCACCTGCCACGGAGCCACGCCCACACGCATCCCGGGAAAGACCCACTGCGCCCCCTACTGGTCACTCTAATGAGACGTGATCACACCCCCTTCTAAACTTCCGGTCGCCTCCCAGCAGAAGAAGCCATGCCTTCTCGCCCAGACCACGCCCCACTGCCCTCTGGTTAGCCTGAGTATGTGAGTTCTCATAGGACCTCCCTTCCTGAGGCACCGCCCCTTGACGAGGCCACACCCCTGTTCCAGCCCTTCTCCTAGTCCTGCTGCGGTGGTAGGTCGGGGTCACTTCTCTGTGGACCCGTTTCTTTCTGATCTCTGCCCTAGGTTCTCGTGTCGCCGCATCATTTCTTTCCAGATTTCTTCTCTTTCTCTGTCTGAATCTCCCTCCTCATCCCCATGTTTCTCTGTGGCTCTGCTCTGGTGTTTCTTTGTCTATCCTTGTGCCTATGTCACTTGATCCCCGTGTCTCGTTGCGTTCCTTTGACTGTGTGCATCTCTCTTTGCGTTCCTGTCACTTTCTGTTTCCTGTCTCATAGTTTTCTCTGTGCCACTTCTTAATGTTTCTGTCCCTGCATCTGGCCTCTGCGTCCCTCCCATCCAGTATGTTTGTATATCGCAGCCTTCCGCTAGGGGGCAGCATAAACCAATCCAGCAAGCCGAACCCCGCTGGGTGGGGCTGGACCATCAGTCTGTCCTCTGGCCCTACAAGTCCCTTCCGGTTGTCCTTGTCCCACTTTCTCTATCTCACCAGAATCCTCTGGTCTTTGTGGCTGGTTTTGAGGCGGCCCCTTTGTCTCTTCCTAGACTCTCCACTCCCCCCCCCCCCCCCCCCCCCGCCTTTTCACATTCCCAGGGCCGCCAAGGGGAGCTAATGAGAAGGTCCACTTGTTGGGGATGGGGGAGGGGAACCGCTACTCAGCTGCTGGAGTACCTGACGGCCAGATCCTCCCCAAGGGCCAGGCATTTGGAAGTTTCTTGCGAGAGAGCCACCGGGGCTGGGATAGGGCCTCTTCTCCAGCCTGCCACACACATAAAGTCCCTTTCCCATGTAGCAAGGCCCAAGGAGTGGACGTTGGCTCTGACCTCTCTTCCCACTCTTGTTAGTGATCCTGTTTGCTTGCTAATCGTTTTGTGTGCTTGCAGGCCATGCCTGCTTCTGAAGGGCAGATGACAGCTTGCTTTGAACTGGTTCTTTCATCAAGTGGGTGCTTGGGACCCCAACTCACATGGCCAACTTTGGGGCAAGTGCTTTACCTTCGAAGCCATTCCACCTACCTTTGGTTTTGTTTTATGAGATGGCGTCTCGGGTCGTCCTGGCTAACCGGCTGAGGGTTAGCAGTCCTGGGATTGTAGGCACGCACTGACACTCCGGGCCATGTGGACTGTTCAAGATTGAACTCTGTTCTGAGCCGCTGCCACATCCCTTTCACAGCGTTCTTTTTTTATTTTTTGTTTTTTTTCGAGACAGGGTTTCTCTGTATAGCCCTGGCTGTCCTGGAACTCACTCTGTAGACCAGGCTGGCCTCGAACTCAGAAATCTGCCTGTCTCTGCCTCCCAACTGCTGGGATTAAAGGCGTGAGCCACCACCGCCCGGCCTTTAACAGCATTCTTAATAAACAGTTTGAATTTTGGCTGCCCACCAGGCACTCATGTAAGCCTGCTCCCAAATAATCCCCCCATCAAACCATGGAGGAGGTAGGGAAACTGAGTCATGGGGAGGGAAAATGACTTGGTCCCAAAGGTCAGGATTACAAAAAGAGGCAGGTCCACAATGGACGCTATTCAACATTCCTTTGTCTTTGTTCCTTGCTCACAAGAATCTCAGGAAGGGGGTCAGGTTGGTGCCACACAACTTTAATCCCAGCACTCAGGTAGCCAAAGCAGAAAGAGCTCACAGAATTCCAAGCCTGTATGGTCTACAGATCCAGTTCTAGTTAGCCAGGGCTACACAGAGCAATTCTGTCTCAAAACACCAGAATCTGAATCCCAAGAATTCCAATAAGGGGGGGAAACACCATAGTGATCACGTGATAATCACCATGTGACGAGCATCATGTGTGAAAAGTCAACTAAGGCACAGGTCCTTTCCAAACCACCATCAGAGAAGGAGCAGCGTGAGGTTTGTTGGTGCTTTTTGTAGCTATGCAACATGACATCCAGCTAATATCTCAGGCTTCGAACGAATATGACATGAGGCTTGCTGTATGAATAACAGGCACTGAATAAACACATTGTAGTTCTCAACTTTTCTTTTTCTTCAAGACAGGGTGTCTTAGGGTTTTTATTACTGCAACAACGACAAAAAAAAAGAATCTTGGGGAGGAAAGGGTTTATGCAGTGACAAGTTTGCAATTTGGGTTCCTTTAAAAAGCACAGAAGTATTATGACTATGTTTTCATTTTAATCCTAGGTGTGGGGATAAGAGGCTGCTTCGGACTGTCTGCAGCAGCTGACTATGATTTGCTTCGTGCTCTAGCAGAAGCGTGGTCTTTTTTTTTTTTCAGCTGATAGTTTCTGCGACTGTGTCATGTCTGGAATTTTGGGAACTATTGAGAGTTTAAATAAATGCTAGAGCCCCAATAGGTGTGGGTTGGTCGTGGTTTGTTAGTTGTTATTCTCAAAGAAGACATATAAGGAAAGAAATTAGATTCAGGGATCGCTTTCTCTTTCTCTCGCCTCTATCCTTGTTTCTCTCTTGCCTAGTGATAGCAGGTGAAATGGGGCGTGGCCTGGAATAAAGAAAAAAAAATCCACAAAGTAGCTGCAGGTTTATTTGCTTTACACTTCTACATTCCTGTCCATGACTGAAGGAAGTCAGAACATGAACTCAGCAGGACAAGAACCTGGAGGCAGGAGCAGAGGCCATGGGGGAATGATGTTTACTGGCTTCCTGCTTGTGACTCACTCAGCTTGCTTTCTTATCGAACCCAGGGCTGTCAGCCCAGGGATGGCCCCGCCCACAGTGGGCTGGACCCTCTCCCATTGCTTGCTAATTGAGAAGTGTTTTTCTTTTTCTTTTTTTTTTTAAGTTTTATTTATTTTATATATGTGAGTACACTGTTGCTGTCTTCAGATACGCCAGAAGAGGGCATCGGATCCCATTACGGATGGTTGGGAGTCACCGTGTGGTTGCTGGGAATTGGACTCAGGAACTTTGGAAGAGCAGTGAGTGCTCTTAATCACTGAGCCATCCCTCCAGCCCGAGAAGTGTTTTCTAGGCAGATCTTATGGAGGCATTTTCTCAGGCTCCTTTCTCTCTGATGGCTCCAACTTGTGTCAAGTTGGTACACAAAACCAGCCAGTGTACAGGGTCTCACTATGTATCCCTGGCTAGCCTGGAATTTGCTATTTAGACCAGGCTGGCCTTGAACTCACAGATATCTGCCTGCCTCTGCCTCTGTAGTGCTGGGATTAAAGGGGTGCACCACCATATCCGGAGTCTTGATGGCTTTTTTGGTTTTGAGATTTAATTTTATGTGTCTGAGCATTTTGCCTGGATGGATGGGCAGCATGTGAGTTCTTGGTGCCTGCAGAGGCCAGAAGAGGGCAGCAGATCCCCTGGAACCGGAGTTATGGGGAGTTGTGAACTGCAATATGGGTGTTGGGAAACAAGCCTGGGTCCTCTACAGGAAAGAACAACAAATGCTTACAACTTCTTGACTCTTTCTCTATGTGTATGTGTGTGTATGTGTGTGTGTATGTGTGTGTATGTATGTGTATGTGTGTATGTGTGTGTATGTGTGTGTATGTGTATGTATGTGTGTATGTGTGTGTATGTGTGTGTATGTGTGTGTATGTGTATGTATGTGTGTATATGTATGTATGTGTGTATGTGTATGTATGTGTGTATGTGTGTGTATGTGTGT